CAACCAATCCTCACATTTATGACCTTTGCAGGTCTGTAAAGCAAAGGAAAGCTGAAGTAAGGTCATAAGCACAGTCACAGTTTCACTTAGTGACCACTTCACTTAATGACAAGGTATCCAGTCCCAGTTGTGGTCTCTAAATGAGGACTACCTGTACCGTCCAAATAGAAACATGTCACATTATCCTTTAAAGAGCTGGATGCATATATACATATTAATATAGTACTGGAATCTGAGAATACCACTCTTTTGGGTCACACAAAATTCATTGCTAGCAGATGTGGCACCCTCTAGAGGGCTTTTCTACTAGATTTTTAGTTAATAATCAAGTATATAATGGAGCTGGTGCTTCACCATATATATAGACCCTAAGACTTTTGGTTTTTTTATAACAAATGTAAGAATTTGGCATTGCAGCCAGTGCAGCTGTTCAGAATAAGCATAATATATTTGTGGTAGGCTTCCCCTTTCAACAATCTAGCTGCAGAATTTGCACTACCTCCATCTTCCAATCTATATAGCACATATAGCACAGTGCAATAATCTAAACTTGAAGTTGCCAAATGCATGAATTTTAGGGGATTATTTAGGGGATTATTCCTATCCAGGAATTGCCACAGCTGATGAATCAACCAGATCTAGAAAAAGGCTGAAAAGTACTTGTGTGTTCACTGATAATAAATGCTTTGGAACACCTAGTCCTTTTGGGGAGTACAGCCTCATCCAAACCAGGTAATTTCCCTAATTCATGGACAAGAGAACTGTCTACCTACAGTTTTTATTTCATCAAGTTGGTATGAAACCTTATCTTATTGACCCTTGTTCAGAATATCACTACATCCAGACACTTGTCCAGGACCTGCATAGCTTCTTCTGGCTCACATGACACAGAGAAATAGAGTTGGGTATCATCAGCATATTGATCAAGCTTTGTTCCAAATCTCTTGATCACTGCTCCCAAGGCCTTCATATGGATGTCAAACAGCATTTGGAGCAAAATGGAACCTTGTGGAATCCCACAATTTAACTGCCATACA